AGGTTAAGGTTGCCTACCCCAGCCTTAGATGTTAACTCCTTATACACCTCAATACCGCATGCTTTCTTACAAAAGATCCCCATCCTAATGATAAACAAACTAGCTTCATCCTGACCACAACACGTTTTTGTTTGGAGCACAATTATTTTGTGTTCGATGGTCAGTATTACCTACAACATAAGGGCACAGCTATGGGAGCCCATTTCTCCCTTAGTTATGCCACTCTCACTATGGGGCATTGGTAAGTGCACTACAATAACCCATATGCTGCACACATCGTCTACAATGTAAGGTACCTAGATGATGTTGTGATCATCTGGGATCAGGGTGGATAAAAATCAATGATTTTTTTTAAAAAAAAAAAAAAAATCGGATTTTTTTTTATTTAAATCGGATTTTTTTAAATAAAAAGCTTTTTGAGGAAAATATATTACCATCCAAAGGTTATTCCATCATGAAATAAAGATTAGTTTAATTATGTAGAATAAGGCTGTATATGTTTAATTTTTTTGGTAAATAAATTCCATGAATCCATTCACAATGTCATGCTCTTCCAGAGGTTTTTGTAAGATTATTGGGCAGTTTCTCTGCCTACAAGATATTATCACAGATGATTGGTTTTACTTTTGCAGTTCTCAAAACTGAATTTGACTCAGCGGAGATCACATGCCTCTTCTTCACAGCAAAATTATTATAACATGAACAGAGTTAAGAAAAAGACCTTCATCCTAACTTCTACAAACCTATGAATACAGAATCAACCCCTTCAGTGATAAGTTTCAAGAAGTTCAGTGAATAGAATAGAAACAATATTTTTCTGATTGTTTGAAGTGGAATAGATCTGCACAAGAAGAAAGTGAAACTAAGTGTGAGGAGGAAGGGGCTGACAGTCTAAGTTTCTTAAAATATATATATTTTGTTTAGCCAAATTAGTTACCAAACATGGATGATTGTTTAAGCAAATACCAATATGCTGGAATGTTATTGTTTCAGTTGAATAAATCTATTTAAATTGTTATTATTAAGTAATGATTATTTTTCTCCTTCCTAAGTACAACAGAAAAGTTGTCCAAATATGAATGATTAACCTATTAAACTGGGGATAAAAAAACTAATATGAAAAGTTGTTATTCTAAAAATCTTCATCTACTTGTATATTAAAGTTATACCAGCAAGAATTAGTCTTTATGTAGAAAACTAGGATTTAAATCAAGCCTTACTGACTAGTGATTTAAATTGTGATTTAAATCAAATCCACCCTGGTCAGTATTACCTCCAACATAAGGGCACAGGTATGGGAGCCCATTTCTCCCTTAGTTATGCCACTCTCACTATGGGGCATTGGTAAGTGCACTACAATAACCCATATGCTGCACACGTCGTCTACTATGTAAGGTACATAGATGATGTTGTGATCATCTGGGATGGCCCCTGGTCAACAGTTAAGGAATTTGTTGCACACTGCAATAACAATTCTTTTGGTTTCTTCTTTACTTACGTATGTGACCCCATTTCACTAGCGTTTTTTAGATTTAGAGCTCAGCTACTTAGACAGTACCATTTTGGCCAAGAATTATTTTAAACCCACGGCAGGGAATTCATATCTGCGTTTCACAAGCAGCCACCATCCTCAGTGGTTACAAAACATTCCTAAAAGTCAGGTCTGCAGATTGAAGCATGACTGCACTAGGAATGAAGATTATGTAGAACAAAGTCAGGTTCTTATTAAAAAATTTGCAGACCATGGGTATCCTGCTGAGCTGGTAGAGTAGGCCCACTGCCTTTACCTCACTTTATCCAATCGGAAGGGAGGACAACCTAGGGAGAATGTGAAGCAAACCTGTTGGTTTTTCACTCAGTGCCATGCCCATACCAAAAGATGGAAAAGGTTCTAGTGAAACATTGGGCTATTTTGCAACAAGACCCTTATCTTAAGAACTGCATTGGAGATCATCTAAGTCTTGTATCAAAAAGCACTGAATTAAAAAAATTGCACCAAGCAGGGTCACTGATTCTAAAAAACATTCACCCAGATCAAGTATTCCGTTCCACGATCTGATTGGTATGTTCCAGTGCAAAAAACAATTATGCCTTACATGCAAGCATGTAACACAGGACCAATCCTCTTTTTCAGCCAATGGCACAGTATACCATATTTGTACCTTTGAGAGCTGTTCATCTAAGTATGTAGTATATTGCCTTACCTGTCCGTGTGGACTCTTGTATGTTGGCAGAACAATCAGATCACTGCATGCAATGCGAAGCAACCCCCTGCTTCACACAGCATGTTGACCTGTTGAACTTCATGAACTGTATGCGGTCTGACCGGACCACATCGCACACCAGCCGCTGTGTTGTAGAGCAGCAGCTGGTGTGAATTAGCCCTAAATAGGCATTTGGATGCTGCACATACTCCTGTGTGTTACAATGTGTTATAGTCACATGTGATAAAAAAAAGTAGGATTTTACAGCATATTGTCATATCAAAAAAAGCATCAGGGCTCATTCACATCAACCGTTTTGTTACAATGCAACTGCTGGTGTGTATTGTGGTGTGGTGCAGTGGGACCAATGAATGCTGATGCACCGATCCCTATACATTGTACTTTCCTGAGCTGGCATTTTCTTCTGAGTGCTGGTCTTCAGGCCTATTCACTGGCTGGTGGTGGATGATGTCACTCCTGCGCAGGAGGCCAGCATACCAGCACTCGGGGGGTGGCCTGGCAATGTAAGCTGGTCACATAGGGGTTTATTTACTAAAGCTGGAGAGTCCAAAATCAGACTCCCTTCTGCACAGAAACCAATCAGCTTCTAACCACAGCTTGTTCAATGAAGCTTTGGCAATGAAACCTGGAAGCTGATTGGCTTCTATGCAGAAGGGAGTCTGATTTTGGACTCTCCAGCTTTAGTAAATAAACCCCATAGTAACTATTCCTATATATTTTGTATTTTTTTTTATTGTAGGCTGTAATTTTTAGGAATAACTCACTGAAATCTGTCCGAACAAGAGTCTAGTAAACATCCCGGGAATGTTAAAATTTGAAACACAAAATCATGAATTATAATTTAATAAATAATCATAAAAAATAATAAAATAATAATAAATTTAATTCAATAATATAATCAAACCAAAAACACTGAAATTTGAAATATAGCGCCAAGTTCGCACATCGCTGAGCAAAGTCGCAAAATCGTTTTCAGTGTCTGATGACGAATTTCCCCACGAATCATTATCACTCAATTCTGCAAGTGGTTCTGATTTACTATCGCTGTTCTCTAGCTGATCTAAACCCGCTTTTGACCTAAAGGGACGCTTTTTGGACGCCATGGACGTCTCTCAGTTTCCAGGCAGAAAGAACAGTAAAAATGCAGGCAGGGCACAGGACAAAGCACTCGGGACAAAATGGATGTGAAATAGGTTTTGATACAGTAATGTTTTACTATGTGATTTTAGTGAGTGACTTTTTGTCATTTTCAAATTTCCCGCCGTTCCGTCCCCCGTACGTCCCAACGCTCACAGAGGATGGAATCCAGATGACAGATGCCGGCATCCGCCGGAGGACATTGCCGGGGACACAAGGTAAGTGATCGAGGGATCGCGGAGCAGCGCCGCATGGTAAGCCCGAGTGTAGCTCGGGGTTACCGCTTGTGGTACTGAAACTTTACCCCGAGCTACACTCGGGAATACCGCCAGGGAGGTTAATTCTAATGGCACGCCGCCTGCACTGGAAATCACAACTGTACTGGGAACAGAGGTTCCCGTGCGGGCTGCGATTTCCAAAGTAGTGCAGGGACTTCTTCCCTGCGTGTCCCGGGGCACAGGAGTCCATTCAAATTAATGGGCTCCCGTGTCTGCGCAAATCGTGGCCCACATATATGCGATCCAGGGGTTAAGGTGTATTGGCCACCAGCCATGCGACACAGTGCGCTGAAAAAAAAAAACAAAAAAACCATGGCCCACTGTACTCTATTACAGCGTACTCGGCCTGCAATGCGGACGTATGAACAGGGCACATAGGATATAAGGCATTCCAGGGTGCGACTTCACTGGAATAGCTGCTTGACACAATCCCGTCGCACCTCGTGTGAATAGGCCCCATTCCAAGGCAAATAGTGATACATTACCTCACAGCACAGTGAGCACTGAGGGGATGTCTGTTCTCACAGCCAGTGCACGTGTCTTCCACACAGGCCTCAGTGAACGCAGGGAGCAGGATAAAGCTGGAAAGGACTAAAATTCACTAAAAATTATTTTTTTTTTTTATTAACAAACACGTCATAATTACCTCCCCAAAACTCCTCTTCTGGGGTCCCCAACACCTCCACCCCTTCATCTCCTGTGGCTGTTCCCGCTCCCAGCCCTATGCGCTCATCAACACGCAGAGCGAGGCTCGGCCCCTCCCCACAGGATTTGATTGAAAGCAGCTGAAGCCAATGGCTCCCGTTGCTGCCTCTGCCCCTGAGGAGCGATGGACCAATGATGCCGCTCCCAGCGCTGGGCGGAGTCAGGTAAATATTTAGGAGGAGGGGAGGAGTCAGCTTAGGTTTTTGGGTTTTTTTTACCTCAACGTGGAAAATGCATTAAGGTAAAAACAAGGTTTAGCCCTTCCAGCAAGTTTCACCGAGTGTGTGTGAACAGCAAGCTGTGACGGACTGTGGAGATAATTATGAAGCAGTCATGAAGGAATTATGTGTCCTCCGCACATGCTCTGTATGTACACCGGCACTGCGCACTACTACAATGGGACTATTTGTCAGGTGTAACACCAAGCGGAAGGTTATTCGCACTGGGCGAAGCGAGCAGAATTCCCCAGAGCAACAATACGAGGTTGCTAGGTCACGCCCACACGAAAAATCCGCCTACTTATGTTAATATGTCTTTTCCATCCAATCCAGCCTTTGTTTTCTTTTATCGCCCCTCCTCAGGAAGTCGCCTTTTTACTGCGGACTGGGGAAGGGGGTGGGGCTGGGTACACGCCGGTGTGTGTACGGTGCCGGGTGTTTGGGGGGGGGTCTATGGCGGCCCGGGGAGGTGCGAGGGTGCGGGCCCTCTACTCCTGCGAGCATTGGGAGATTGTGAAGCCGTCTGTCAGCGAGCTGTCCCGGGAGGTCCGCACCAATATTCTGTGCACTGTAAAGGGATGCGGTAAAGTGCTCCCCAACCCCCCCGCGCTCAACATGCATTTGGTCAAGTCCCATGGAGTGCAGGTGAGGAGAACGTGGGATATACCAACGGGGGGCGTGTGGGAGGGGGGTCAGGACTTATACAGGGTGTCCTTGTGTCGGTGAGGGATTGGAATCCTGTATAGAGTTGTGATGAAGGCGCCGCGAGTCCCATGGGGGAGGGGGAGGGATGATCAGAGGTAGGGAGGTGGGTGCTGCCTGTTCTGCTCACATAGTAACTATTCCTACCATGGGAAAGTGCAGTGCTGTGTGGCTGCCATTGGTCTTCTGTGGAAAGCTGGCTGTAGATGTGTAGGCCATTGTCAGATGGTCATTGGTAGGTGAGTGTCAGACATACCACCATCCTCACCCTTGTCATTCTGGGCTGACTGGTGCACCATTTATTCTCTCTTGCCCCCCATTATAATTAATGACTTCCTGCACCACCCATCTTCTCCCCTTGTCATTTAGATGCTCTCCTGACAGATCCTCCCTCCTGCACCTTTTACCAGATGTTAGTTGCTCCCTCTGCACCCTGCCCAGATTATTTGATGCGTTCATTCCTCCTGCACCCCCAGATTTTGAGAAGTGCTTCTCCCTCCTGCACCCCCCAGACTTTTAGATGTGCTCTCCCTCCTGCACCCTGCCCAGATGTTTGATGTGCTCCTCCCTCCTGCACCCTGCCCAGATGTTTGATGTGCTCCTCCCTCCTGCACCCTGCCCAGATGTTTGTGCTCCTCCCTCCTGCACCCTGCCAGATGTTTGTGCTCCTCCCTCCCGCACCCACGCTCCAGATGTTAGATGTGCTCCTCCCTCTCGCACCCACGCTCCAGATGTTAGATGTGCTCCTCCCTCCCGCACCCACGCTCCAGATGTTAGATGTGCTCCTCCCTCCCGCACTCACGCTCCAGATGTTATTATATTATTATACAGTATTTATAAAGCGCCAATAGTTCGCTCAGCGCTGTACATTACAAAGGGGGACAGAAGAATACCAATACAATGCAAACCATGAGGGGATTGAGGGCCCTGCTCTTTCGAGCTTACAATCTAGGAGGGAGGGGATGGTGGCACAGGAGGAGATAGCTGTCGGGGGATGGAGTGGTAGGAAGAGTGGAGGAGGTCGTCAAGTTAGCAGGGGGTGGGGGTAGGCTTCCCTGAAGAGATGGGTTTTCAGGGTGCACCTAAAGGAGAGGAGAGTAGGTGATAATCTGGTGGGTTGGGGCAGGGAGTTCTAGGATGGGTGACACCCTGGAGAACTTAGATGTGCTCCTGCCTCCTGCGCCTTCACCAGATGTTAGATGTGCTCCTTCCTCCCACACCATCCCCAGATGTTAGATTTGCTCCTCCCTCCTGCATCCACCCTACCCAGATGTTAGATGTGCTGCCTCCCGTGCCTTCACTAGATGTTAGATGTGCTCCTCCTCCCGCACACACTCCAGATGTTAGATGTGCTCCTCCCTCCCGCACACACTCCAGATGTTAGATGTGCTCCTCCCTCCCGCACACACTCCAGATGTTAGATGTGCTCCTCCCTCCCGCACACACTCCAGATGTTAGATGTGCTCCTTCCTCCCACACCTTCCCCAGATGTTAGATGTGCACCTTTCTCCCGCACACACTCTCCAGATGTTAGATGTGCTCCTCTCTCCCCCGCACCCACACTCTCCAGATATTAGATGTGCTCCTCCCTTCCACACCCTCCCCAGATGTTAGATGTGCTCCTCCCTCCTGCATCCACCCTTCCCAGATGTTAGATGTGATCCTGCATCCACCCTCCCCAGATGTTGTTCTCCCTTTCACACCCACCCTCCCCAGATATTAGATGTGCTCCTCCCACCCTCCCCAGATGTTCTCCTCTTTCCCACACACATCCGCACTCTCCACATGCTAAATGTGTTCCTCCCACACCGTTAGATGTGCTCCTCCCTTCCGCACCTTCCCCAGATGTTAGATGTGCTCCTCCCTTCCATGCCCACGCTCCAGATGTTAGATGTGCTCCTTCCTCCCGCACCCATGCTCCAGATGTTAGATGTGCTCCTCCTTCCCTCACTCTGCCCAGATGTTGTGCTCCTCCCTCCCGCACACACGCTCCAGATGTTAGATGTGCCCCTGCCTCCCGTGCCTTCACCAGATGTTGGATGTGCTCCTCCCTCCCGCACACACTCCAGATGTTAGATGTGCTCCTTCCTCCCACACCTTCCCCAGATGTTAGATTTTCTCCTCCCTCCTGCATCCACCCTTCCCAGATGTGCTCCTCCCTTTCACACCCACCCTCACCAGATGTTAGATGTGCTCCTCCCTCCTGCATCCACCCTTCCCAGGTGTTAGATGAGCTTCTCCTTCCTGCATCCACCCTCCCCAGATGTGCTCCTCCCTTTCACACCCACCCTCACCAGATGTTAGATGTGCTTCTCCCTCTCGCACCCACCCTCCCCAGATGTTGTGCTCCTCCCTTTCACACCCACCCTCTCCAGATGTTAAATGTGCTTCTCCCACACCCTCAGATGTTAGATGTGCTCATCTCTCCCGCACCCACTCTCCAGATGTTAGATGTGCTCCTCTCTCCCGCACCCACTCTCCAGATGTTAGATGTGCTCCTCTCTCCCGCACCTACTCCCCAGATGTTAGATGTGCTCCTCCCTCCCCAGATGTTAGATGTGCTCCTCCCTCCTGCATCCACCCTTCCCAGATGTTCGATGTGCTCCTCCCTCCCGCACCCTCTCCAGATGTTAGATGTGCTCCTCTCTCCCGCACCCACTCTCCAGATGTTAGATGTGCTCCTCTCTCCCGCGCACACTCTCCAGATGTTAGATGTGCTCCTCTCTCCCGCACCCACACTCTCCAGATATTAGATGTGCTCCTGCATCCACCCTTTCCAGATGTTAGATGTGCTCCTCCATCCACCCTCCCCAGATGTTCTCCCTTTCACACCCACCCTCCCCAAATGTGTTGGATGTGCTCCTCCCTCCCGTACCCATCCTCCCCAGATGTTCTTATTCCCACACCCGCACTCTCCAGATGTTAAATGTGTTCCTCCCACACCGTTAGATGTGCTCTTCCCTCCCGCACCCTCCCCAGATGTTAGATGTGCTCCTCCCTCCTGCCCCCTGCTCAGATGTTAGATGTGCTCCTCTCTCCCCACATCCACCCTCCCCAGATGTTGAGCTCCTCTCTCCCACATCCACCCTCCCCAGATGTTGTGCTCCTCTCTCCTGCACGCACACTCTCCCAGATGTTAGATGTGCTCCTCCCTCCCCAGATGTTAGATGTGGTCCTCCCCTCCCGCGCCCTCCCCAGATGTGGTCCTCCCTCCCGCGCCCTCCCCAGATGTGGTCCTCCCTCCCGCGCCCTCCCCAGATGTGGTCCTCCCTCCCGCGCCCTCCCAGATGTGGTCCTCCCTCCCGCGCCCTCCCCAGATGTGGTCCTCCCTCCCGCGCCCTCCCCAGATGTGGTCCTCCCCCCCGCGCCCTCCCCAGATGTTAGATGTGGTCCTCCCTCCCACGCCCTCCCCAGATGTTAGATGTGCTCCTCCCTCCTGCACCCCCAGACTTTAGATGCCCTCCCCAGATGTTAGATGTGCTTCCCCCTTCCCGCGCCCTGCCCAGATGTTAGATGTGCTTCCCCCTTCCCGCGCCCTACCCAGATGTTAGATGTGCTCCTCCCTCCTGCCCCCTGTTCAGATGTTAGATGCGCTCCTCTCTCCCACATCCATCCTCCCTAGATGTGCTCCTCTCTCCCGCATCCACCCTCCCCAGATGTTGTGCTCCTCTCTCCTGCACTCACACTCCCCAGATGTTAGATGCGCTCCTCCCTCCCCAGATGTTAGATGCGCTCCTCCCTCCCCAGATGTTAGATGCGCTCCTCCCTCCCCAGATGTTAGATGCGCTCCTCCCTCCCCAGATGTTAGATGCGCTCCTCCCTCCCGCGCCCTCCCCAGATGTTAGATGCGGTCCTCCCTCCGCGCCCTCCCCAGATGTTAGATGCGCTCTTCCCTCCCGCGCCCTCCCCAGATGTTAGATGCGCTCTTCCCTCCCGCGCCCTCCCCAGATGTTAGATGCGCTCTTCCCTCCCGCGCCCTCCCCAGATGTTAGATGCGCTCTTCCCTCCCGCGCCCTCCCCAGATGTTAGATGCGCTCTTCCCTCCCGCGCCCTCCCCAGATGTTAGATGTGCTCCTCCCTCCTGCCCAGATGTAAGATGTGCTCTTTTCTCCCACATCCACCCTCCCCAGATGTTAGTTGTGCTGCTCTCTCCCACATCCCCTCTCCCCAGATGTTGTGCTCCTCTCTCCCACACTCTCCAAATGTTAGACGTGCTCCCGCCCGCACCCACACTCTCCAGATGTTAGATGTGCTCCTCCCTCCCAAGATGTTAGATGTGCTCTTCTCTCCCACATCCACCCTCCCCAGATGTTTTCTTTTACAGGGCAGGTGTTTTTGGAGGGGGGGGGGGGATTTTTTACTTTGTTTCTGGAGCAGGCAGAGTAATCCTCTGTGCCTTGGCTACTGAAAGTTAAATTCAAATTCTGGCCTTCCCTGGCAGATTAATATAGAAGGAGGCTGAAACTTTAATTGCTGGGAGCCAAGACATGGAGAATTACTTCACTTGCTCTTGAAAATGAGTAGATTTCTGTTCCCAACCCCTGCTGAACTGATGGGTTCTGGGAACATTTATTTAATCACTGAGAGCAATGGCCTGTGAAATTACTGTGCATGCGCCTGCATTATATCCACCCTGTTCTAGTTACGTAGTTCCATCTTTGGTGTTAGGAAGGGTTCATAGGTGGTAAACGTTTGATTTCCATGGCTGAAGTTGTAAATTGGATCAAAGGGTAAGTTTACTATTTTACTTTTTTTTTTTTTTTTACTCCTTAGGAGCCTGGAATGCATTGTACCCGGTATCAGCAGATTGTGGGTGCAGTTTCAGGCTCTTGCAGACTGTTAGTGTAGCTGTCTGCCCGTAACTCCAATATGGGCAGGCAGTTACTTCAGTCCAGAAATAATCGATGAACTACGAGGATGCTCGCCAGCGCCCTTATAATTCA